GGCTGTCTCCTTTCCCCTGCCTTTGGGCTCTGTACAGTCAGCATACGCATCCCAAACGAGGTTCAGGAGCCACCGGTCCAGGGGGTGCTTCTGGGATGTAGCCTGAGTTACTGTTGCTTCTCTAGCTAGAAAATCATTAGCAACTCTGGAGGTCAAGTGGCTTTTCTCAGAAAGGTTGTTACAGGGGGCGCCTGGGTGGCTCAGTGGGTTAAAGCCTCTGCCTTCAGCTCAGGTCATGATCCCTGGGTCCTGGGATCGAGCCCCACATTGGGCTCTCTGCTTAGCAGAGAGCCTGCTTCCTCCTCTCTCTCTCTCTGCCTGCCTCTCTGCCTATTTGTGATCTCTGTCTGTCAAATAAATAAAATCTTAAAAAAAAAAAAGAAGAAAAAGGAAAGGTTGTTATAGGATTCCCAACTCTCATGTGCTGAGAAGAATGTTTTCTCTGAGGAGAGGAGGCTGAGGGAAGGGACTCCTGGTCACCCCAGGCTTTGTCACCGCATCCAGCACAGTCAGCCCTCCTGGCCTTGAGCCACTTGGACTTAAGGGACTTGAAGCTCTTGATTCTCTCTTTATCACACTGGCTGCTTCCCTGGGTCCTTCCCTCTGCTGTCTTTCTCTTCTCCCCCTCAGACTTGCATTCCTCCCAGTTTTTCTTTATGCCCCGTGTGCTGCTGCTTCCCAGATTTAAACTTCAGGCTCCCTGTCTCTTGTGAGCTCTAGACAGTCATCTGAGAACTTAATTCATTTGTGTATCTAACAGGCACCTTTGATACCACATGTCCAAATCCACGTGTGCAGTATGTTCCTACAAAATTACACTGACTGAGAAATGGGTCTTGCAATGACAGCGTTTTCTTAGAGTCCTAACTAAAACAATAACATAAAGGGCTGAATTATTAAGGCAAATGCCTTCCATCTCGTTTGGTAAGCTTTAGACCCCGTCATTTTCTTCTAGTGGGAACGTTTGCCTGCATCCTCCTGAATGACTGAGTCCAGAAGTTCTTGCTCAGGACACAGGACACTGACTTGTGGGAGCTCTCATGTGTCCCTGTGCCTGCAGACACTGCTCCCGGTTCTCAGGTTTGTATTTTTCACATCAGCTGACGAACAAGAATCTGGGCGGTTGGCAGGGTGGACGAGCTGCTGGCTTGGGGGTGCACTGTTAGTGCCCTTGTACGGAGTGTGGGGTGCACTGATTGTGACTGTACTTTTGCCTTTATAAAAATGAGGGGGAAATAGAAGAGATGAAATATTAATAACACAGTTGATACAAATCCAGAAGTCACTAGGTATTCCTAAGCAGTGTTCTTCCGTCTTCAGTGGGACTCTGCCCTAGTTATACATAAGCTGTCTCTATATGGTAGGCAAGATGATTTCGTTGAAACTGTTGGAAATTCAAGTCAGCTGAGGAAGTACACCTCTTCCAGAATCAGAGCTGCCTTTGGACCTCAGGGATGAGAAGAATATGAGCAGTTTTGGTTGACCAGGAGTTACTCTGGGTGCCCCTGAAAACTCATTTTTACATTAAGACTGTTGCTTGGTTGGCTCTTGCCCACTCAACCTTTGGGGTGGGTCATGTAGGAGAGTAAGGATGCTTGGACCTGGTGTCTGAGTGTTCCATATCCATGTTGTTGACCATGGCACTCCACCATCAGGTGTCAGAGCAGGGGAGAAGCCACTTCACATCCCACCTACTTGGTGATGCAGGAAGTACACGCCACGTAAGATTGTGGCCTGGGGAGAACTGACCCCATGCCAGGTGTCATAAGAACCGGGATCCTAGGTATGTCCCCTTCAGGGGATCTTTAAGCTTCTTCACCTTGCGGTTGAGACCGGATGTGGGGAACAGAGCACCCTTTTGTTGTCAAGGACAGATTGCTCAATTGCCACTAAATTACAAAGCTTTTAGCTTTTATTTTACTATTTTTTAAAAGGTTTTATTTATTTGAGAGGGAGAGAATGAGAGTTTGAGCTTGAGAGGGGGAAGGACAGAGGGAGAAGCAGACTCCCTGCTGAGCAGGGAGCCTGATGTGGGTCTCCATCCCAGGACTCCAGGATCATGACCTGAGCTGAAGGCAGTCACCCAATGGACTGAGCCACTTGGGCTCTCCAGCTTTTAGCTTTTAAAGTCTCTTATCTCTTCCAAGAGATTTGTTAATGAGAGAGTCATTGACTTTGGATTTATAGATGAAATTACAGGGTTTTGATTGCTTGATAAAAAGACATGTTGGCTGTTTCCTTTCTTTCCTTACTCACCAGGTTAATACAGATGTTTTTTAGAATAGCTACCCAGCACAAAAGGGTTACCCTTTAATCTGAGAACCCTTGGAGAAGTATCTTATTAATATTTAGCAAAGCAAAAAAAAAAAAAAATTGGGAAAAACATTTTAGAAAACAAATGAAAAGGACTAATTTACTAATTATAGGATAAAATACAAAAAAAAAAATGGGGCAATAGAAGAGAGAAGTGAAGCACAAGAAGCATATGTCCCTAAACAAACAAAAAACCTGCCACCTCTTTGTTTCATGTTGGCCCTTTCTCTAAGCCTATTTTTTTGGATTTTTTTTTCCCCTGAGATTTCTTAAATTCATGGGAAGAACTCTAATGCCTTGAAAGTTCTTGACTGCTTTTCTTCTGGGTTTTAGTGTAATCCCAAATCTCTGCAATACAAAAGTTCCACTTCTAATGCCTTAACTTCCAAGTATTTTTTTGCTCCGTAGAGAAGGCTTCTGTGCACCGGGTGGTGTGTGTGTGTGGGGGGGGGGGGGGGCAGTTTCTTTAGAAGCATATCTTTCTTTTTTTCAGGTTCGTCCTTTCTTCCTTTTGAAATTCAGTCTTTGGCGTTATGGAGCAGACTCCTGCTTGGACCCCCTCCTTCCAGCCTTTCCTGTAGTTACATGTTTGAGGTTTGGGTTAATGACATTGTGCAGCAGTTTCTCAGGCATACCACTGAGGCATTTTAACTGCTTCATTAATGTACACTTTATATACAGTGTACAGTTTGATAAGTTTTGACATGTATGTGCCCATGAAACCATCAGCACAGGCAAGTTAGGGAACATATCCATCACCCTCAATTTAAAATTAGAAGCACTGTCAAAAAAATTTGGAATATAGGAAAGAGAACGACGTTCCCTATAAACCCTAACACTTAAGATGCATGAGCTTCAGTGTCTCTTTGATTTAACACGGTATCATTAACGCTTTTCCATATTGTTACATGGTCTTAATAAGACTTTTTAAAGAGTTGACACATTAAAAACACCCTCTCTATGCGTCTAACAGGATAGTACACAGAATGTTTCATGTTGGGGGTAGAAACAGTTTCAGCTGCATTTCAAGCCTTTCCTACAAGGAGGGGGGGCTATAAGGAGGGGGGTCGGAGGAGACTGTGGGAGAGCATGATCGGGTCTGAATGATCCCTGTCCGCCAGACCGGATGCTGCTGTCCCCTTGCGCTGTGGGAGTAGTTTAGGAAGGGAGAACATGCATGTCGCAGAGAGCTTATATTTGGACATGTTAGGTGACAACGAAGCGGGGGCCGAAGTATGTGCCCAGGTGGTGGGATGTATTCAGTTGTTGGAGGCTCCTGTGCCATATGGGAGAAGTCTGAATTCAAAAAATAATTTAGTAAAAACCACTGAGGGTTTTGGTGGGTGGTGTGATAGGATCCTCATGGTGTGTGTGTTGAGGAGGTAGACCATTTAATTACGCGTGCACCGCTGTTTTCCCCAGCTTTATGGAGAAACGCTGTTGACAACGTAGGGAAGTTTAAGTGTGCATCGTGCAGATTTGATCCGTGAACGTTGTGAAAACCTCACCAGCTCCATATCCTCACATAATCTCCTTTTTCCTTATGGCTAGAACATTTAAGACGCCCTGTCTTAACATCCGACTCATCGAAGGAAGTCACCGCGCTGTAGACTGACCAGAACTGAGCTCACAGTCGTGTAGCCCCCCCACCCTGACCGCCTCTCCCCGTCCAGCCCCTGGCACCCCCCTCTAGTATATTTCTACGGGTTTGGCCTTCTTAGGTGCCACGTGCAAGTGAGAGCGTGCAGTGCTCGTCTCTATCCGCCTGACTAACCCGTGGTGCCCTGAGGCTGAGAGAGGTCACTCGGAGGTCTTCTGCGGTCCCGGCCGCAGGGGTGAGTCAGGAGGGCGTGAGCAGGGGGGAATGTTGGGGAAAGTTTTCTGTGCATGAAGTAGCACTGACGCAGCGACGGCCTGCGTGGTGGTGACATGAGGCCCGGGGTGTGAGGGGCTCTCCCAGCGACCAAATCTGCTGGTAGGTCGGACGGCGTAGCCGGCACTCCGCCAAGGAAATGGGGCAGGGATTTCCCGGAGAAGACTCCGTTCAGCAGCCCGAGGCCCTGCCGAGAGCCGGGTTGCCAGGGACGGAAAGGATCGCCTAAGGATCATCTCCTTGGCTGCTCGGGGCGGAAGAGACTCGGAGAGCTAGGCGGGCCGGTCAGGGCCGTGGGCCGAGCTGGAGGTGGGTGGGGGTTGGCGGCGGCCGCCACAGGTGCTGCGCTGTTGTTCTGCTGCGCCCCGTACAGCTCTGGGAGGTCTGAGGCCCGCGCACAGGAAGTGCGGGGCTGCAGGCGCGTGGGGCACCCTGGGAGGGCTGCCGCTCTGCATCCTGGGAAGGCCAGGATGAGGGGTGGACCAGGTGGGGCGGATGCGGGCGGCCTTGCATGTGGTAAGGGGAGGGGGGCCGTCAGGGTTGGAGCTGACTTCGCTGCAGAGTGCACGTTCAAACCACCGAAGACCTGTGACCCGGACCTCGATGAAAAGGGGCAGGCCAGTGTGCCATTAGTTCGTGCTGGAAACTGGGAGCTAGCAGGCGAAACCGACCTCGTGATCCAGCTCCCCACAGCACTGAGGCACGATCCCCCAGCCCTAGCGCCCGCTCCCGTCCAACCTATCTGAAGAGTGCTGAGAGGGCGGGAAAGCTTTCATTCCACAGGGACGCGGGAGGGGTGAGCGCGGGCCGCCCGCCTGGCGCTTGCTCGCTCGAGGCGGTTACTGGCCTTCCACGGATGTCCATTCAAAAGTGGTCTAGGTTACCCGCAAAGGGCAAAAAGTTTAAGATGTTCTAAACAAAACAAAACAAAACCCGTCAGATATGGGCAATTCGGTATATTTTGTCATCACCAGCGATTTTCATTGTCGTACTGGGGCCGCAAAATTGACCTCATAGGTCTTAAAAATATTTCTCCAGGACCACCCATTCAGCGTCTCCCAGTGGAATGCCCAGGTTTGAAGACCCCCTTCCCCTCGATGCAGCTCCCTCCGTCATCTGCCTTGAGAACAGGGACTCCTGAGTCTCCAGGCTTGGATGGCTCTCCTCTCCAGGAGTTCGCCTCCCTTCCTCTGTGTCTCCAAAATAAGGCTGAGGAGGGGGGAACAGGGCAAGCAAGGACTGTTTAGGGTGGTGGTCTTCGAAGTGGGTTTTTTTTTTTTTTTAAGATGTTATTTATTTGACAGATTTCACAAGTGGGCAGAGGGGCAGGTAGAGAGAGAGAGGGAAGAAGCAGGCTCCCTGGTGAGTAGAGAGTGGGATGCAGGGCTCGAATCCAGGACCCTGAGACCATGACCTAAACCACCCAGGTGCCCCTCCAGCTGGGTTTTTAACAGCGTTTATCTGAACTGAAAGAATAGAATATGCCAGAATACATTGTATTGGTAATGGCAAGTATTGATTTGTGAAACTGTGTTTCTCTGAGTGTCCAACCAGTAGGTACGGGCTGGTATTCTGTACAGCGTGTTTTTCATTGGTTTCAAAGCATTGGCAAGTGCTTTTTGGGAGATGAGTGGTTGTGGGTTGGACATCTCTGTGATTCACGGTATGCCATTGTAGGAGTCTTGGGATTTTCTTAACCTTCTGCCTTTTTGCTGTGTCAGAATCCTTTGGGGTTTTGTTTGGTTGGGTTTAAGGGGCTTCCTAGTAGTTGCTGGTATAAAGATAGTTAAAAACTGGAAATTTAAGGCACAGAGGTGGCTCTCTGCTTTTTCATTTCAGTGTTGTAAGACTAAAACTTCTGGTTGAGTTTTAGTACAGAAATCACTGAGGATTCATCAGTGATTCAGAGGAAAACAAGGTAGGATAGCGTGTGACGTTTAGTGGGCACTCAGTGAATCTTTCTGGACTGAATGAATGAATGGATGGGAAGAACCCTGAGCACCTGTCTAGGGTCCCTGAATTACTTATTAGTGAGTGATGAAGCAGGAGTGACGGTAGGAGCAGAGGTAGTTGTTGTCCCATTATTTCTGTGCTGTATTCTCTTAGAAGGAGAGAAATAAAGGAGACAGGAATTCTAAATTGGCATCTGGTTGGTTAAAAGCAATCCTTGGGGCAGTTTTGTATCTGGATGACCATTCTTTTTTAAGAGAGACTGCTGGTGATTTTAGTTTTTAGGGATATTGGCCCATGGTTCCCTTTTTCTTTTCCCCAGTTACCGAAAAGTTGAATGTTAGGAAGGCTGATTGCTTTCAGGGAGTTGTCATTTTCTTCCAGGAACATGTTTGGGGCAGCGGCTGCTAAACAGTCCGTTTGGGGATTAGGTGCACATTGGTATGTGGCTGAAATCTGCTTCCTGGTTCCTGAAATCATGTTCCTTTGCTTCAAGGATGAAGGGGTTTTGCTTTTGTTTTTGTTTTTTAAGATTTTATTTATTTATTTGACAGACAGCAAGAGAGGGAGCACAGCAGGGGAGAGGGAGAGAAGGAGGGAGAAGCGGACTCCCCTCGGAGCAGGGAGCCCGATGCAGGACTCAATCCCAGAACTCTGGGATCATGCCTGAGCCGAAGGCGGACGCTTAACCACTGAGCTGCCCAGGTGCCCCAAGAATGAGTGTTTTCTCTGCTCAGTCCTCTTGTTACATTCACTTCGTTTTGGCTGATAATGCTTCTAATGGATAACCTTTCTGTTTAGGGGAGCTTCCTTTAAAGAGTAGTTGACAGCTAGTATTGAGCAAACTGAAAATGTTGCTTGTGTGTTCTCTTAGTTTTTGTTCAGAGTTTAATTATGAGTGGTGGTAGCAGAATGTAAAAAATTACCTGTATGTTATTTAACCATTTTGGCAATGGCAGAGACACAAATGCCTTCTTATTGTTTGGATTGTATGAGGCATGATTTATCATATCCATATTTTGTGTTGGAATTTAAATTCTAATAATTTCTAGAAGCATTGGTAGTAGAAGCGTTGGTAGTGGAATTTACTTAGTTGATTGAATCCTAAGTTTGCCTAGTGGGTTTGTGTGGCATCCATGGGGTGAGATATCTCACCTGCTGTGATGGTTCTAATTATGTCAAGACTTTACAGAAGACACTAATTGCCACCCTGTGACTTAGTACTGCTCTGTTGAGATTCTTTTGATCATCCGAATGAACACTTACTTAATACTACAGAAATAAGAACCTGTGGTGGGTAACTTTTAATGTGAATGTATGCTCATCTTTAAACACCAGATAATGTGTCTAAATTATGAGCCAGGATCTTAACAACCCCTGGGTCTATTTAGGCTTGAGCTGTAAGCTGTCAGTCATCAGTAGAAGGTCTTTCTGTGTTACCGGAGCAGGTTTTTTTTATCTTGAAGGTCTCTGGTGATATCTTTGAGCCTTGAAGAGTAAGAACTTGGAGGTCTATTTGTATATGTAGTTTGGTTGTATCATTGTGAGTAGGATTTAAATCTACTTTTAAAATGGCTGGCACATTTGTCAGTACACCAGCAAAGTTCTTCTAATGATAAAATGACAGAGAGAACTTTTTTTTTTTTTTGGATGTTCAAGGTTATATTTGCTGGCTCAGTAGATTTTTAGCATTTAAGCCAGGCATCTTCAAACCTTGATTTAGTGGATGGGCACAGTTTTCCAATGACAAATGGAAACAATGAGTAAATTTTAAATGCTTGTATTTTATTGGAATCTGGCATTGTCAGTGCCTACAAAGTGTGGTAGCACTTTTGATTCTTGAACATTTCGACTTGCTCTGTCTTCAGAAAAGGATATTTTTCTTTTCAATTTTTGTATATGGATACAATATAAATATAATTATAAATGCTATATATAGCTATGTTCTTGTGAAACTGCACTTCAACCACAGATCAACAGAAGAGCAAATACAGTTAGGCTGCTTTTCTAGTGTATCTTAATTTGAAATTCATATATATGAGTAAGATTAAATTTATTTACTTCTCAACATCATTTAATATTTTTGCATACTGTTTCCAGTGAGTTCTGAAATAATTCTCATAAATTACATGTGAGTCTTTTAAAATGGCACTCAGAGGTCGTATGGTGGGGAAGGGCATGGGTGATGGAATGAAGGGAGGATTGGTGTTGGGAAAGGTGATTAAACACCTTAATGGAACTTGAAATTTGAGCTCTCTAAGCTTCTGAAAATAGGTAAGATAGGCTATAAAGTATACTAGAGCATTATCCTTTATTAGGAAGGATTTATAACTAGTTATTTTTGTGGTTGTGATAAAAAGCTAGACCCTTGGCTTGTCCTTTGGGAATATCCAACAAAGTTCTGTATATTCTTTGCCTTGATAAATAATATTTAAGCATTGAAGTAAACTTTAAAAATAGGGTTAAAAAGAAAAGTAGTATATATTTTAGAAAATTGACAAACTGTGGGAAAGTAAAGGGAACACATTAACCAGTCAATGAGCATTTATTGATTAGCTTCACAAATACTCATTATTGCTGGTAGGTACAGTTGTCTGGGATGTGTATATAGACAAGGTGAGAGTCCCTGTACTCAGGGGGTGTATTTTAGTAGGGAATGGAGAAGCAGTATGTACCAGTAAATCAAGTCAGTTACTCTCAAGTTAGTGTAAAGAAGATGAACTGTGGGGTGGGAAAAGGTGGGATGGGGTGGGGGGGTGCACCAAGGCCTGTTGTGATGGGAGTGGGTAGGGGAAGGCCCTTCTCATGGGTGAAGTCTGAGTTGACTGGAGAGAGGAGGTGTCAGGTGAGGAGGAAGAGCATTCCAAATAGAGCAGGTCCCAGGGCCCCGAGATGAGAACGAGCTTGCTTTGTTCAAGAGACAGAAAGTAGAATGAAAATACAGTGTCCATAGCAAACCCACAGTAAGCATTCTTTGAGTCTTTTACAATTATTGGCTTGTGTTTATAGAATTTGTATTTTTTGCTTTTAATCATAGTTGCTTCTTCATATAAATATTCCCCTATTTTATAATGGATGCCTTCAGTAAACATTTTTCATTTTGGCATAATTAATTTTATAAATATATTGTTGATTTACTTACCTGTTCCCTGATAGCTTGGCATTTAGTTATTTTTTGCTATTAAAAATGTTATAATGAGCACTTTTGGATCTAAAGGGTTTTTTTTGTTTGTTTCTTAGGGTTCTCAGAAGGAGAAATATGAACTTGGACAAAAACGAATTTTTTTAATGTGTTTTATTTATTTATTTGATAGAGAGACAGTGGGAGAGGGAACACAAGCAGTGGGAGTAGGAGAGGGAGAAGCAGGCTTCCCCCCCAAGCAGGGAGCCCAGTGTGGGGCTCAATCCCATGACCCCGGGATCATGACCTGAGTCGAAGGCAGACGCTTAACAACTGAGCCACCCAGGTGTCCCCAAAGATAATTTTTTAAATTATTTATTGCCAAAATTCTTTGCAAAATGGATTGTTTTTAGTTTAAATGCTAACCATATCCTGGCCTGCATTTAAGGGTTACCTTTTTTCAAAGACTTTTTTTTTATTGTGGTAGAATAGATTTAACACAGAATTTACCATGGTAACCAATTTAAAGTGCATGAGTGAGTGGCATTAAGTACCTTGGTCATGTGGTGTGACTGCCAGCACTGTTTGAAGCCCCATACCCATGAAGCAGTCACCCCCTCAGTTCCTGGCAAGCACTGATCTGCATTCTGACCTGACAGACTGGCCAGTTCTGGGTATCTGCAATGAATGGAACCAAATGTGTGGCTTTCTGTGTCTGGTCTCCCATCTAGCTAGGGTGTCAGGGTCATCCGTGTTGTAGCAAGCTTCAATACTTAATTCTTTTTCACACTTCGATTCCTTTTCATTCCATTGCTTGTATATAGATAGCTACATTTTGATTCTCTATTTGTCTGTAGACAGGTATTTGGGTTGTTTCTCATTTTGGCTGCTGTGGATGGAGCTGCTGTGGACATTTATATGCACGTTTTTGTCTGAGGTCCTGTAGAGTTCCTCGGGACATAGATCTAGGGATGGAATTGCTGGGTCGTGCGGTCAGTCTGTG